TTGCTGTGGGGGTGTTGATCTGTGCCCCTGCCCCCCACACCCCTTTCCTCCCCCCCTCTGCCCACCCCAACAGACTTACCAGCTGGAGGCAGCTGTGTCCAGCATGGTGAGGACTGCTGCCTGTTTAGTCTATGGCCGAATCTCCGAAGCGGTGCCAAATCGAATTGGGACAGTGATTCGAATCTCCGAATCGAATCGCTGTCCCTTCAAATTGGCCGAATCCGAAGCGAATACTCACCGCTTTGCACAGGCCTATCTTACAAGATCATTGGGTCCAGCTCTCTGCCTATTTCCAAGGAACTCCATTTCAAGACAAAACTTGGAGCAAACAATGCTCAGGGCATGGGCCTCTAGTACTTAGCACTGCAATTCTAGGATCTTGATTTCATCTGTGCACAGAGTACGCTGATGTTATCATGATGGTGCAAAAGTACAATCTTGAAATGAGAGGCAGATGAGTGACGGGTAGCTAGACAGATGGACAATGTTACCTAAAGCAATTTTTTAAGTTTTTCAAGGCAAGCAGTGTTGCTTAAGAGGGGACATCTAAAATCAAGGTAAGAGACAGACCTTGCAAGTTTCCCCAATTATAGGGAAAATCCTAAAATTACATTGTTTTACTGCAATGCAGCACAGTTTCCTTTTATTGCAGCAGCTCTACACATCTGCTGTTCGGCTTATGTAATACTTGGCTGCTCAGAAACCACTGCTCAGAAGTTGGGTGTAGCGCAGCCTTCCCCTCCTTCGATTCAATGCTGAAACAGTCTGTGTAGAATGAGGGAATCATGCTCATTTGTGGTATGATCCTGAAACACGTGAAAAGTCATCAAACCCCATAAAATCAACGGGAGCTTGAGGTTATGACATACCTTTGGGAGCTGCCTGTCACCAAGCTATTGAGGCATACTTGACTCAAATAAGGGTGTTAGCCTTAGGGTTAATAAGCACACTCCTTTTCTCTCTGGTTTATTGCCCTGAATGGAGAACTGTCAACTATATCCTTCACAACCCTGCTTTTTATTAAGATTTAGAGCTGGCTATAAATGCCATTTTAACATGAATATTTATTTAAACTTTAAAATGAATTAATTCTGGCCACATCTGCACCCCTTACAAGTTCATTTTATGTAGGCATTTGCACCCTCTGTGTTCATGTCATATATACAGCTAAAGCAAATTTCAGGGGAAGCATCAGATCTGCTGGCACATTCATCTGACGGGAAAAAACAAACACTATCAGGTGCCGGGTACCACCGCTGTGCAAGTCAAGTCAATTGGCAATCAATTCATAAAGACATCTCTACAACTCTTTATTAGCTGAATGAAATGGAGTACGTACACTTGAGAAAATAATGATTGATAGTCAGTGCGCAAGCAGGAAAAAAGACCAGGCGAGACAAATCGATGGTTCAGTACTTCCAGGGGGCAGGGGCTCTAGTGGGGTGAATACAGGACTAGAAGCCACTTATTTCTTTCTGCCTTCAAATCCCCTCCCGACACTGAATTCTTCTGTGATACAAGGTACAGCCTCAATTTCACTTTTCTATAAAATTAACATAAGAGTTCTTATTTAAACTGACCTCAAAGCATATGGGTGAGGAATCAACGTGAGTTTTTATACAGCGCTATTCAAGTGACAAATATCACCTTATTTTATATTCAAATTATACCGAAAGTCCAAAATCTGTATTGTGCCAATTATATCACATTGCAAGGGGCAAACCTGGGTGTTAGAAATAAGCCAAACAATCTTTTTTTTTTTTTTGGTACAGCTTCAGTATTTGGGGCCAATTCCTGCAATTTGAATAGTGTAGCTGAATGAACTCCATGGTGTTTACTGTGGATGTACAACCTGAGGCTAAGAGCATTAAAAATATGTATACGTCTACACTATCAGATGATATGTTAGGTGCCATACCATGACTGTACCCATCCCCAGAGCTGGGTAAATATTGCAAAAACATTATTGGAGATTTTCTTTTTAATTTAGTTCAGGACCGTGATTCAGGTACCTTTGAAAATCCTACTAGGTGCCTATCTGTAATTTTATATCTGTACATCAGAAATTCTGGGCATGAGCGCTTTGGTGAACACGACTTAAGCACATACTTAAATGCCTTACCAGAACAGGCCTAAATTTGTTTCTCAAACATTAAAAAACCTACATTCATCCAAACAAGGAGCGGAGCATGCAGTATAACCCATTTTCTGTCTCTTTTCCAAATCTCCCTGTCACCAAACTACAAAAATCAAATATTCTAAGTGAAAATTCAAAGGGCTGAAGTACGCTGGAGAGGACAAATTGTTTCTTAATTTGGAACAGCGAAAAGAAAAATGTTACATCTAGTTAGAGCTATTTCGACATACAAAAGCTCTCGTCACCGTAACAGTTGAGCATCTTGTCTTCATTAGTAGGTTTTAATCTCATGATACTACGGCAAGTTAGCAAAAATATTGATCCTGTTTTTTAAAATGGGGACACAGTAGAGTCAGTGGTTTGCCCTTGGTCACACATGGCATCTGCATCTAAGCTAGGAACAGAGCTCTTGAGCTCCAGACAAGTGCTCTGTCGACTAAACCACCTTTTCCCAACTGTTAGTTTGCAAACAGAAACCCAGAATCTCTCTGCAGACTATATTTACCGCAAATAGTTGACACACACTATTTAAAACATTCTTTAGCGCTGCAGTGTTATTCAGTCATCTGCAGCTCGGGGGTATGCAATTCCAATGGGGATAGGAAGACGACACGATATCAGGCCCACATGTTCCATTTCAGACCAGCTGGTATCGTCAAAATAATTCACAAGAGCCTCCTGATTTCTGCCTGCATTTGCATTCACTAGACTATTTTTCCCGACTATGAAATTACCACTGGGTGCAAAAGGAACTGGAAGGTGCTTTTGCAAGTGATCCACTGAAGTTTGGGGTCAGTTTTCCCATTTCTCCTCCTTGAACGGATTAGAAGCTGCCAGGAGACTTGACTTGAGACAGCTGCGCTAAGGGATAGATTTATTTAGCTATTACACCCATTCAAAAAGCTACATATTGAAAGGGACCACAGTGTTGCTTTGCTGAAAGCAATAACCAAGTTCCAGTAAAGTGATTCAGTGCTAGGGTGTTTAAGAATGCTATCCTCTGTAGCTAATTAAAATGAAGTACCCCTTTCAAGTTATTTGCTTTAGGTTAGCTTGAAAAACTCCACTATGTGCTACCGGGGTAGGAAAAAATGTTAATGCAATTCCAGCAAATATTTGTTTTGATAAACACGAGTTCAAGAATACTGCTATTTTGGGGTATTGCTATGCCTGTCACAGGACAACAATTTCTTGAATTGGAAAGCGCTGCAGAGAAAAAGAAACTGGAAAGAAAAAAAGTGTTCGCTAGCAGAAGGTGAAGAAAAACTAAAAATGCTGCTTGCTCATTTGGAAATTTGATTTTAGTCAGAGGTGATGATTATGCCACAGATGCAGTTATCAGAAAATCCAGCAGCAAGCAAGCAGTGAAGTGTCATATTTCTACCCTATTTTAATGGCTGTCGTGTTGTGTTCTAGGGGATGCTGGAAGCAACAAGAAGTTGGAAGACTTAATGTCTCCGTTGGGACCTGATCCAAAGCCACTGGGCTCAGCAGGAGTCTTCTCCTTTGACTTTCAAGGGTACGTGATCAAGCTCTGAATTGCTGATGGGATACAGAGAGTTGCACCTCCTGGCACTTACCACTCACTACAGGTCAGTAGTGACCAAAAGCTATCAAACTCTCCTGGTGTGTAGTGGGTCAGGGGAAATTAATTCAGCAGGTTTCACTCTATTTGCCAGTGGAAAACTGCTCATGTCACTGCTGATAATAGTCAGGGGATGGCCAAGGACTGAACCCAATGCAAACACTCCCAGGCCTAGCGAGGGAACCAAGCGTTCCCGGCTAAGGAGAAGCAGAGAGCAGAGGCCGAAGGGGGCCAGGAGAGAGCAAGTTTGACCTCCGAGGATAACACAAGACTTCCATCTCCAGAGATGGCAGCTGCTCCTTTGGAGCTGGGACGCGCATGGTGGATGAGCCTTCTTCATCCACCACACACATCAGCTTGGTCTCTAGGACTGGCGCGCCATGTCCTCCTCCTGCTCCTCACCACCTCTTGACAGCATTAGCCACACAAAAGATTAGTGATTAAAGAAATGGTAAGAAAAAAGGGAGATGAGAAGCATGACTGGGCAGGGCTTTCCAACAGCTCACACTTCAGGTCTGCACCAAGCTCCTCAAACCCCAAATTATCCTCAGATTAGAAGCACTGGCAGATGCTGTGTCTCAAGGAGACATGCCTCCTGGATAGACAGAGGCTGCATTCCCATTACCAAGTGTGGTAAGTACTTCCCACTGCCTCCCCTGCCACAAGGTACAACAGTTCCCCTGAGCGGGGTGATAGCAGGGCGCCACGGTCCTATATTCCCTTTAGGATGCCACGTCGCACTACAGTAGTACGGACGCAGCCGTTCCTCTAGAGCTATGGAGGCCAACCTTGTTGACAGGTGTGTCACAAATTGTGCCCTCTCCAAGTGCCACTCCAATTCCTGTCCCCTGCCTAATCTGCTGCTCTGCTTTCCGCCCTATTGCTGCTGTGCTGCCTGCCCCCTCCCCAATCTGCCACGTGCCACCACGGAGGCTGTCGGGCCACTTGTGATGCATTGCAGGTCAGCCACGCTTGCCCTACAGCAACATAGCTTTTCCATGGACCGTGCCAAGGAAGACGAGGGCTTCTTTTGGCCTCTCTGTCCCCATAATGGAATCAGGCAGAGCCTGGTCCCAGGACTTCATGCAAGTCCCCCTTAGCACAATGCAATTGTCCTGAATTAACTCTCAAAGGGCTTCAGTCCTGGGACTACTGCCTGCGATACTGAGCAGACTTGTGTGCATTAGGGAACCTGAACCCGCACATTTTTTCCAGGTTGAACATGATGTTCTCATTAAGCATCCCAGCCCCCTTAGGAGACCAGGCCTGCCCTGTGCTGAGCACTGTGATCCACTTAGCTAACTTCAAGCACATGCTTGGAGGGACAGATTCACAGTCCCAGCAGGTGTTTCTTGGCATATCCCCATGCAGCTCTGAAAACTCGCTGCTCCCCTAGGATGGGGGGAGCCATCTTTCAGGATATAATTCTGGCAGGCATCCACATCTGTTCTCCCTCCCTGTAGCTCAGAGGGAAAATCATCTTCTCACAGTGTGAGGGGAGTGGCCCTCCTCCAGGGTAAAGAGCCCAGGTTTTGCTTGTGTTATTAGTCCAGGGTCTGCTGGTTTTTCAGAGTAGATGCGTAAGGTTGCCCAACAGTAGTCCCGCTGACGTAACTGGGACTACTCACATGGGCAGGTGGGACTAGGATGCTCAACTATAAACACGTACTCTGTACCAGAAGACAGGTCCCAGGCCAAAAGCCTTGATTTTTGCATGGTTTTTTTTTTTTGCGAGGGGAGGCAAGGAATCCTGGGTTCTCCTGATCTAGATCCCTATCTGGTGCCAGCATCACAGCACCCAACTTGCCTTGCATTTCATCACTACATATTTGAGTTTCACTTCCTCCGTTGTTTAGAAAAGTGAATGCCTCAACTTGACTCTTTGGGATGCCCCTGATCAAAAATTATTTCCTCTGGGTCCAATGTAGGCAAGGCATTTTTCATCTACGTAAGGCCAGATTCTGTCATGTTTACTCATACAATCCCTTGCTTCTGGAAGCAACTGTGAGAAAGGTAGCACCATCTAGACCACAAGGAAAAAGCAGCCCCTGCCACCCAGACAGCTGATTTCCAAGCACAGCACTTACTACTGGAGCAATTCCTATTTGTAGGACTTTTTGTGTTCGTGAAGCTGGGAGTCACCGTGTGTGTGGAGGGGGCCCACAAACAAACAAAATGTAGATGAAGAGTTAGGGAAAGGGCACAACTTTGAAGGAAAGTGATTTAGGAGACATAGGGGAAATCAATGAGATTAGTAAATGGATAGTTTGATAAGTATGAAGTAGTTACCACTGAAGTCTTCCGGAGACTGAGTCTATCTGATCTGGCTCTGAAATATGCTTCGTCAAAGGATGCGTGACTCCCCTTCAGCTTCTCGGAGAGGTTTCGGTAGAGCCGTTTCGCAGCGTTTGGAGAAGACGGCCCGCTGCCGCTCTTTTTCATCTGGGAAAGATTCAAGTTCTGCATTTGCTGCGTCATGTTCACGTGGCAGGTCCTAGAAAGAAGGCAATGCAGCCATTTGACAAGGGGTTGCTCCACTTGTGTTAGCCATTAAAACTATGCCATTGTAACCCACCCTGCACAGCTCAGATGCCACATAACTTTCCACAAATGCTGGTCAACTACACATCTGTTGGGAGATCAAGACTATTTAGGGCCACATTTTGAAGACTTTACATTGCAGGTTGTTTCTCGCAGTATAGTCCCACTGATTTCAATGGGCACGGAGAGATCGGAGGCAACCGCATAAGAACTGCCTTTTACTGGGTCAGATCATAGGTCCACCTTGCCCAGTCTCCGGTGTCACACAGCAGCAAAGAGTGGATGCTGAAAGGGAGAGTGAACTGGGTCTGACCAGGGTTTTTTCTACTGTTTCTCTCTCACTTGCAGCCCCCTGCATTTAAGGTCTATGAGCAACTGATAATAGTTGTGAGGAATAAAAGATTTGATACCTGGTGGATTAAATGATTCTCTTTGAGAAATAATTCTGATAAAGATCAAACGAAGTTTGGGAATTGGGGAAAGGGGTTTATACTGCATTTACAGCGCATGACCATTCTCTTTATTTTGCCAAAGCATTTTATTTTTAAAAACTCTTCAAACCAAACGGGTTGCTCCAGAGTCATACCTACACCTAGGATGGGGTGTCTATGTTGAGCATCCATTATGAAGGGAGCTATTAGGTGTCAAATGGTCCTTTCTGATACAATAAGCCAAAGTGGCCTGTTTTAATGCACTGGGTCAAAATCTCTTCTGAGCTAGACCAAAGTAAATCCGGAGTCATGGCACTGAAGTCACTGCAGTTATTCCAGATGCTGTGGTGACCTTCATTTCTAATAATTCCATCACCGCTACTGCACACAGGTACATGTTCAGGGGTAAGCTGAGACCCAGCCAGAAAGCTGCCCAAATAATCAGTCTCTAAGCCCATTTCCTTGATCCTGTTGCACCTCTCTATACATCCCTTCTTTGTTCCTCACTCCTTTCTCACCAAACACAAGCTGCTTCTCCACGCTCTAGGCGTGTGCTGTCCGTCACACTCATGCTGCCCCCATCCCTTGGAGGAAGTCCTTAAAAACATCTGCAGAGCTACTTCAGCACCTTCTTAAAACTCCTGTTTGCTGTGATCCTGGCAAAAATATTGACAACCACTGGGCTCCTGATGTGCTATGACTACTGCCCATCATCTTCCAGTTTCCCTGTGCTCCCTCATCTGTCTGCAGCAATCAGCTATATCTTTTCTTATACTTACATTTTAAACTCTGGCTCATGGGACTCTCTTTGTTTGGTGTTTGAACAGCACCTGGCACAAGAGGGTCCTGGTGGGAACAAGGTGGGATTGATAAACTAACCCTGCAGATAAGACGACCTTTTATTTTCAGGCTCAGTTTTAGGAATAAAAAAGCTTTTTCCCCTGAACATAAGTCGATAAACTCCAGATAAAGTCCTTGAAGCGTCACGGCTTTTATGAAACCTGACAGTGGAATCAAATTACTTAGGAAAGGACCTAATGGGTTCAAATGCATAAAACATACTAAAACTAGTAAAATACAACTCCAATTTGGTATTTTTATTGTATGCACAAACATACTGCAATCACACAGGCCAAAATTGTTAGCGGTCTGAGAACAGTTTGATGCTGTGTTTAAGTCATATGCAATTTTTATGGCTAAGTAGCTCCTCTAAAATCAGTGATAGGTAGGGATCTACCTAAATTTTGGTTTTGCACATTTTGTGGAAACCACAGAAAACAGCTAGGAAATCTGGCGTTGGCTGAAATTTCCTGCAAAATCAACCAGCCTGCGGTAGAGATGGAGACTGAATGAAGGTGGCTCTGCGTGCCGCAAAAACCCCGTTATCTCACTGTTACTTAGGTAGGTCCCTAGTGATTGGTGTTCAGGGCCGAGGTGCAAGTGCCTGCTCCTACAGTCACAGAAATTAATGGCAAAACTCCCTGTGATATGGGTAGTAGAGAAAGGGAGATCCCTTTGTTCCAGTCCTGCCAAACTTGTTCACAGGAAACATCTCGACAAGACTCTCATGCCTGTCTCAAGGGCTTGAACCCAACCCAGAGCCTCAGTGCATGGACCTGTGGGGCTATGAACTAGGGTTAAGTAGCTGGGACCATAACAGATTTGCATCCAACAGAGGCAGGCTGAGAGAAGCGCATGTAATACACTTGGACCATTGGGTTACTCTTAATCATGCAGGAACGCCACCGTCGTGTTGGCATCAACAGGTCTCAGGGCCTGGGAACGGGATACTCTGCTGCATTTGGGTTTCAGGCTCACACCCCAAAACCTTAGAAAAGCAAAATGGCTGTTGCTACTTTTCCCCTGCCACAACTCGGGTTGTAACAGCCTTTTTAGTCTAACATGCCCGTGACCAACAAAGGTCTAGGCTATGGCAGAGTATGTTTTATAAGTCAAATACATCCAGGATTTTGAGCCTTCTTGCTAGTCTTTGCATAATGAACAGGCACTCTTTGCTTGACCATTGTGCTCCTTTCTCGTCCCCTGCATCTTCTGCCTTATCTTGTAGAGCTTACGCTCCAAAGAGACAAGAAATGCCTCTGCTTCTTTGTACAGTGCTTAGGCAAATTAGGCGGTGCCCTTGGCTAGTCCCTAGGCACCATTGTGAAAACAGAAGCAGTGATATTTTCTACGTTCTCTGGTACCAGGCATCTTTCAGTATTAGGATCTTTTGAATGGCGGTTACATGTATTTTGAAGTCGCACCATGCCCATTTGCGTACTGCTTTTCACAGCAGAGGACTCTGAACTGCTCCCTCGGCTTTCTAGTAGGAAGTCTATAGAGCATTTCCTCTGGGGGCTGAAAAGCTTAGACCTGTGAAAAAGGATGCAACATTGTGAGGCTGAAAATTACAGAGGGGAATTTGGGTAAACACGTACAACGCCCACGGGAGCCCACGTGGGATAAAATGTGGGTATGAGCCGAGGTATAACTCCCCCCCACCCAACACTTCCTTTCCAAATGCAGAGATCCATTAATGCATAAGGCACCAGACCCACATTTGGAAGAGATACGGTGGTGGTCCAGAGAAGCTGATACTCCCAACCTTGCTTTCTTTCAACCTCTGGTTGCCAGGCAAGAAGTGAAGTGAATTACAGTGGAAGTCGTGCAACTATTTGTTGCTGTGGACTCTCAGCCTAAACCCTGTGCAAGGAGGCTTTCAGGATCAGGACCCGCCAATCAGCTATACCATTTACCATCATAAAAGCCTCTATTAAACTCTTGCCCTGTTACTGAGGCTAGCCTTTGGCATAATTTGCCTTTACGATTTAAGGCTCAATGCCAAGTCTCACGAGTCCTTTAACTCTTCCGTTATCATTTGTAAACGGTGGCAAAGCAGACAGGCTGAGCACAAAAGGATCTGATTACAAATAACCTCACACATTTTCCGAGCTAACAAGGTATTGCAGAGAAACAGGGTGCCTGAATGAGGAGCATATGCCAAGAGCCTGGAGATAATTGGGGTATGTGACAGGGAGATCTCTTTGTTAAATCAGAATGCCGATGTGTACCAACAGAAGAATAGCAATCTGGGCAAGCCACGTCCTTGGAGCTAATGAGCAAAAATGGATGTGGTAAGAAGCAGGCCCTCGGAGGTTTCATGGAGCTGCAGCCCTACAATGGTCTTGGATTGTCTTTCTCTGAGCATATTGGGGAAGACGAACACTTATTGGTGATGCTCCCAGCACTAGGGCACGGCACACAACCGCTTGCTTTTTAATTACTAGTTGCATTTCAGTAGAAGACCCAACTGCAATCACTCAGCACTGCTGAGACACGCAGGGAGAGTCCCCAGTCCAGAGACAGATCAAGGTTGGCAGAGGAGACTGAAGCAGAGAGAGCAACGAAGCCCAGCAGATTAGCGGCAAAGGCAGTAAAAAGAACCCAGGTCTCTCAAATGACAGTTCAGTGCCCCGGGCACTGGAGCAAGGAGCGTGCAAACATCATATACTGGCATTAAAACATCAGCGACCGCCAGCTCCAGCCTCAGAAGCATATCTGAAATACTGGGCAATCTTTCCTATTGACAATAAACTATTCACTGCTCACTCCCCACCTCCTTTCCCACCCTGTTCCCCTGAGCGGTGCAGTGGGTAGCCAGGTTTAGCAGCTTCTGTAGTGCTAGGGAAAGGTGGGAAAAGAAAAGACCCTCCCTCCAGGCTGGAGGACAGGGGACTACCCAACCTGTGATGCTGCGGTAGCTTTGACTGTTCACGTCCCCGGCTGGGGTATTGCCCAGTGGATCCCTGTACTCAGAGATTTACCCCGGTCATATCCCAACACAACTCATGGCCTGCAGAGACATCTATGGCAGAGACGTGCAGGCTCCACAAATCATCTCTGCCCCCACGGTGAAATCACACTGAAGTTATCGGCACTCTCAACACCCCTTTGTCCAAGCAGTCCGGGGGTGGGGGGCAGGTGCTGAGTTTTAACAGCAAATACCCAAATTGTCATCTTCACAGACATAGTGACTAGATCAATTAGAGGGCTAACGGCAAGCACAAGAGAAGGTGTTTAGTGATACACGATGGTTTTAAAAATGGCTAGAAGGCTGTGCTCATATTAGCCCCTTTTAGAATCTCTTAGTACAATTCAGTTTAAAGGAACGTCTTTCGATGAGTTTCAAGAAACGGCTGGATCTGTTATTTTGCCCCCAGAGACCTTAATTTTCTGCAATTGCCTGCTATTAGCAGAATTTAGCAGAGGCTCAGCAATTTACCCAAAGCAATTTTGTTCTGTCACTCAGACTCAGGGTAAAAATCCCTCTGGAGCACTCCCGTGCCACCCTGCTCTCTGCTCTCCTACGAAGCTGCATGCTGACCTGCACAGGGCTTCCTCTGATACCTGCTTTACCTCCTGTCCCTAACGGATGGCTCTTCCGTTACACCAGATGCGTGCAAGGAGAAACCATCCCAAACGCTACGTGTAAAGACTAGGAAGGACTCGGCAAACAAACACC